AATTGAAGGAAGCTTGAAAATTATTTGTTGAAATTCTTGAGAGAGATACGAGTTGCAATACTCTATTTGGGTGCATATGTGCAATAGCTGGAAAGATGACTATGGCGTTTAAATTGTTTAAGATGCCCAAAAGGGATATGGTGCCTTGGTAAACCATCGTTATGGAGCATAGCAAAGTTAGGGATATGCACAACTTGTGTTTTCGTTTTTTTTTTCAATCACTCTTTTTTTAAAACAAACCCAAATTTTACAAACAGAAATTTGATGCTTTCAAAAACAACATAAAATAAAAACTGTTGCACCAAGGTGGGGTCTTTAACGAGGTTCATCCATCAAACCCCATTAACACCAAAACCACTAAATTTTGTCAAAACTATAAAAATCCTCTTATCTCCTTCATCTCTCTCTCGTCTGTCTCTTCGTCTCTCTCAATCTTCTCTCTCTCTTGTCTCTGCCAAATGAAGAAACCGAAGGTTAGATCATCCCTCTCTCTCCCTCTCCCTTATCTCTATTTCTCAAGCTCAAATCAAACATCATCTCCCTCTTCGAAGCTCAAATCCAATCTCATCTATTTATGAAAGTTAATTTTTTTAACTTTGTAGTATATATATACATAGATCTATGTATATAGATACATAGATCTACATATATATGTATAGATTTGCATACATAGTGTAATATGTAGCTACGATCTAAGGGTGCATGTGTTTTTGTGTGTATGTTTCTAGGTCTGTGTGTCTTGGAAACCTTTTGTTTTGATTACTTCCTTCAGAATTTGTCAACATGTCTCAAGTAATTTGTTGGGAATTTTCCTTCAGACTCTGATCTTGTTGGGAGCTCGACATACTTCCAGAGTACAAACCATGCAAGGTTAATGATGATTAATGAGCACCTAAAGGTGTATATGTTGGGAAATTAGCATAATCATATATAATTTTAATTAATAAATTCATATCAATATCACATAAACAAACACAAAATAACAATGAACTTAAAATAGAATAACATAGATACTACAAATTATAAAGAGCTGGTCTGCGAGTTCGAGAGCTATGTGAACACTGTCCTAAAGCAGCTGAGCCTCCCCGCGTGAAGATACTGACGGACACCCGCGATTCTAAGATCAAACCCAGATGCTCGCAGTAGCACTTCCTCAATGGTAACGCCCATTGGAAGGAAGGGTGAACTTGACTCGAATCGAAGTTACCTGAAGTAAACTAATACCAAATATTTGTAGGTATAAAAATGTAATAATAGACAAAAAGAAATATGTAGAAAGAATAACAATACTTGGTGGAAGAGGAGCATATAGAAAAGATGGTCAAACTATCCATCTTTTAGCCACCTTGTTTTATATGCACCATCTTAATTATTCTTGAATAATAGGCTTTAAAATATATTAGTATGTAACTTCCAAACTATTAAGCCTATATCAATTTTATAATTAAATGACATGAACATGCAAGAATTAAATTTCAATTGTAAAGTTAAAAACTAAAAAATTAATACAAAATAAGCAGTTATATAGTTTTTAAAAATTTTATTTTAATTTATTCTAACAATCCCCCACAAGTTTTGAAAACTTCAAAATGACCTAAATATATTTATATAAAAGTAATAGACAGAAAATATGGGCAGCTATTATACTGTGCAATGGGTGTAGGTGTCTTCTAGACTTGAACCTCACTTAGTGTTAACAGTCTCCCCCTGAAGGATCATAGTGACCAAAGGCTTGAACTAGACCCTTTGAACCAGAGTTCAACTATCACAGACAGTACCGACATTGGTCAGGATTCGCGGGTCAGTACTATTAATGGTCTTACACTTGATCTTGATTCTCATGAGAGTTTCTAGAGAATAGCCCAATTCTCATAGTCGCGGCCTCACGACTACTCTTACTTAGGTGAACCCTCCAAGGGTACATGTGCACAATACCTTGCAGGAGTGTTCCTGTCTCGGTCTCATTTAGGATAAAATTCTTCCTTACCGTCACACTACAGATGCACCTCTGTCATAGGGATGAGCATGAAAATATCTCCTCTTAGGATATTTTCTCAATAACGGTGCTAATGAGTCACGTAATATGGATTGTTTCTACCCATTGAACTTCTTTCATGGGGTTTTCAATCACAGAAGTTGGGTTACCTCCCTAGGTGACTCCTTTGCGGGCTTAGGCCCATCCCCCTTGACAATTCTTGAGCCACAGATTTTCTCAAAAGTTTGGCTTTTCTCAAAAGCTTATTGATGAAATTAATCATCTTTCATATATTCATGTCTCATGACTTTCCTCAAAAGCTGTATAATTATTTTTTAGCTTTGTTTGACTGCTATTTATAATCTCAATATAGAATGATCATTCTTCATGATGAATGCCTCGCTCGAACGTGCACGCCTTATTAATTCCTCTATTTGAAATTTGATCTGACCTGTCTTTCAAACATCAAAGATAAACACTACATTAAAATGTATTTGT